CAGCAGCAGCGATGGCGCGGCTGGTGGCGGTGTGCCGGGACGGTGAGGAGGAGTTCCCCTTCGAGAAGCGGCAGATCCCCCTCTACATCGATGACACCCTCACGGTGAGTCCCTCGGGCCCGTCCCGCCGTGCCCGCGCCTCCCGCGTGTTGCAATTCCCAGGCCGGGCCTTTCCTCCTTTCCGGGCCTCGCTGGCTCCTCCTCGGGCTCCTGCAGCCTTAATCTTTGGGACTTTGCAACACTTGGGGTTAACAGAGATGAATGTGGCAACTTTTTTTATCTGATGGCCGGCTCTGAAAGCGGGCGAGCCGCATAATGAGGGAGTTCGCGCTGTGCCGGGGCCTGTGCACAAGTTGTGCCGGAGCCACGAGCGTGGCTCGGTGCTCAAGGGTGGAGCAAAGCCATTTTTCAGCTGGGAAGGAAGGGAGCCATGTTAACGTGAAAGCCCGGCTTCAAACCGGCTGATTGTTCTGCTCTGAAAACAGCCGAGGAAAGGCTGAAGGTATTTTCGAAAGCTTTGGCGTGAAGTCAGGGTTATCGAGTCTGCAGAAATGTAACCAATCTGGGAGTTCCCATTTCAGGGTGTTGCTGTGAATTGGAAAACGTGGTGGTTTGGCCGTTTCCAGAAGATTCAGGGAAAAAAATCAACTAAATGTAGCTTGGAGGTTCTCTGGTCCTTCTCCTCGTGAGTTTAGAGGAAGGTTGAAAAATTGTATTGTAGGAGAACACGGAGCAAATGGAAAAAAAATTCTCTAACTAGCCTGTTGTTCTTTCCTTTAATTCTTAAAGCATGAAAATGCGTTGAAAATAATATCACACTTAGTGTAATTTGGTATCTTAATGATTCATATTTGATTTCTCTTGACAATGAGACAGTAACTGTTGTTACTTTAAGTGATGTAAAGTGGGGGTGATTTAAATTCCTAATCTAATGTTTAGGATGGAAGAATCCCGGAGTTTTATCAGCTAAGGAAGGTGTCCCTGCACATGGCAGGGGGCTGGAACTGAATGATCTTCAAGGTCCCTTCCAACCCAAACCATTCTTCCACCTTCCAGAACAAAACTGTTGAATGTCTTCAGACAGGCCCCAGCTGGTTTTGCTGCATTTGAAGGAAGTCCTATTGCTGTATTTCAGTTTTGATCAATTTGAATGGTGGCATATCATTAATTTACGAAATATAATCAGTATTTTTGGGTTCTCTCTGGTTAACTGTATTCAGGTATTAGGCAGAGTTTCCCTTAAAGTTGTCCAAAGCAGTATCTGCCTCTCCTGGAGGGGCTGATGACCTGGAAAACCCAGCACTTGTACAGGAATATTGCATGTTTGAGTTTTTTGGTGTCTTGGCCACACCTTGAAAGTTATTGTGCCCATTCATTTTCCATGTGGTTTTATGCTCTTGGGGTTCTCTTATTTATTTTTCTTTTTTTTTTTTCTTTTTTTTTCTCTCCTTCATGGAGTTCCTATAAAAAATTACTCATTAATTTGTGTCATGTAGACTTGCCATGCTCCTGTTATTTTTGTTGTGTGTAATAGGTTGAGAGTGAAAATTCAGCTCTACCTGGTAGATGACTTCAGCAGACCTAAAATTTCATTTGTGGTTTTAGTCCCAGAATTTAACACCAAGCCCAAACTTTGTGTAATTGCACTGTGTTGTTGCTGCCCTTCTGCTTTTTACACCATTCTCATGTCTGAAAGGGCCCTCTAACTGTAAATCAGTTTGATATCTGGAGGAAAGGCATTTATGCAAGTGCAAGTCATCCTCACTATGAGAAAATCTTACCTTGTGTCCTTTTTTTTTTTTTTCCTGGTCATTCTATTACTGTTGTTACAAAGCATTTGGATTTCTAGGTGGTTTCTGGAGGCTTTTATTAAAAAAAAGAAATCTGCAGGAGCAAGTGAATGAACTCTTGAGTTTCCTTGTCTGTCATCTATAATTTATTTTTTAAATACTTAATGAGAGCTATTACAAGACATGCAGCTGTCTTTGAAACAGAATTTTACATCTGCAGCACTATCTTAAAAAAATAATGGTGGATATTGATAGTAACTGGCTTTTGTTACCTCTCTGAAAACCCAAATTTTAAAAATAATGGGACCAACGAGCCTGTTAGTCAGCTGGAATCTGTGCCTGGAATCTGGAATCGGTGAATTAGTGATTGCAAATTAGGAGTGAATGGCCCATGTGCTCTTCACCTGGGATGTTGCTTTGTAGTAGGCCAGGAAGCAGCTCAGGTGCAGGGAGATGCTGCTGCCCTGAGTGGATTCTTCACCACCACACTTCCCTGTTCCTTCTGGCTCAGCCAGAAATTAAAGGAGGTTTCAATATTGAGCCCTTTTCATTTCTTAAGAAGCTTTTATGGTTTCTAGAAGGCATTCCATTTGATGTGGTATTACAGGATTTTTTTTTTTCCCTTCCAGTTCAGGGTGTGATGGTGGTTGATGTTTAACCACTTAATAAAATCTCATCAGACACATGAATTAATTTAGTCTTTGATTCTTTTGCTCTGTTGTACAGAATACCTCAGGGTGTTGTCTGATAGTGGGAGATGAAGGGGAGGGGGGAGAAATAGGCAGATTTATCTCTTGTCTGTGTTATTAGCAGATAGAGCTTTTTACTTTTGCTTGTAGTTCCTGGCCTGCAGAAACACCACATTAGTGATGTAGGAAACCTGCAAATCTGCAGCAGAAACTGGTGGGGAGGGATCAGGGCTGAGGGAAGCTGGAAAAGGAGCTGAGGGTTAGGATTGGCAGTGGCCCTGCTCTGCACACTGATAAAGCAGCTGTGCCACTGCTCGGATTGGGGCACATGGGACAGCAAAATAGTGCCTTGTTCTCAGAGAAATGGTGTTTATTTTGGAGTGGTGTTCTGTGCCTGGAAAAGTGAGTGTGTGAGTTCTCTGGAGGTAGAGTTGGCAATTTAGGCAGACAGCAGGGAATTCTGCCTTCTCTAGACAGCTGAGGGAAGGTGAAGGAGGAAAAGGGATGAATCAGACAGTTTATTTGGTGTTCATTTGCATTGGAGTTATTAACCAGAGTTGTTATTTTGTCTTTCAGATTTTAAAGTGAACTTTCAGTATTCATATTGTCAAATTCCCTGTTTCTCATTTCGGACAGAGAAGAGAGCTAAGCCAGGCTTTACACATTTTTTCTTGTTGCTTTCGTTTTATTCCATGGTTGCACAGTTGGATTTTTGGCTGAAAGTTGCTTTCCTGATTTCTGCCTCCTCCCAAGAAATTGCCCTCTTTGTTTCTCAGTAATTTGATAAGAAATGTTATTAATTACTTACAAGTAATCACATTGTTCTGTAGGCTTAACATTTTGCTTTGAGCCTCTTGAGAGTTGCAGCTGCAATCACACAAAGCAAACTATGCCTTGGAGTACCTTGTTGGGTTAATATGGTTTGAAATTAGCCTTTGGAGGAGTTGACTCTGTCATTAAACTGTTGTGACTGTTTCCTCAGAGCTTTATAAATTGAGTTAAACTGTTGGGTCCATTTGGATCTCAGTGTGTTGAAGTTTTTTGTTTATTTGTTTGTTTTAGCTGAAGCAGGGTCCCAAGTCGTGTAGATGATAATATAAATACTGATGGTCCATTTAGCAACAGCTATTTAAGAGTTGCCATTTATAAACTACCTTTAGAACATTATATTAATGAAGCATTTATTACTTTGGTGAAACATTCACTATCTGAAACAGATCCTTTTATCCTTTCCCAAGCTCCTGTAATTATGTGAAAAGAATGAGCATTTAACATAATTTCAGTCTTATTTCCCCCAAGAAAGTAAAACAACTAATGCTCTATTTGGCTTTGTTTATTTTGTCTGAAAGCTCCTCTTTAAATTGTTTTTCCTCTCTTGTATAGATGGTGATGGAATTTCCTGATAATGTGTTGAACCTTGACGGACATCAGAATAACAGTACACAATTGAAACAGTTCATCCAGGTAAATAATGTTTCCTAAGAAGTGAGATTTTTGCTTTCCTCAGGTTGGTTTTTTTGCTTCTTTGGGAGGTTGTGACCCTGGAAATGCCTCAGACACGTCAGCACCTGGGAGCAGTCACACATTGGTACCAAAGTGCACTGGCTTCACTGTGCTCTGGATTCCACAGCATTTATTGCATCTTGTCTTGTCAGGAGGCAATTGCTGCATGTCTGAGAGCTCAGAACCTACAATGGGAGCAACAGCTTCTAAATACATCTCAATTTTTATTTTTCTGAGCAGTTTTGAGCTGCCTTTTCAAGTGGAAGTGTGGATTGCTTGAGGTTGGGTTCTTTTGATTAGTGCCCATACCAGGGCAGAATCTGTGTGCCAATTTGTAGATTTTATATAGATAAGTAGTGAGAATTGGTTTTGTGGTACCCCAGAAACTTTAATCCTAGAAACTGATGTGCCAACCTCTGGAAAATAACTGTAACACCTGTTGCAGGTGCAGAATGGTGCCAGCTGATGTCCAGAGGGGCAGAGTTTGCTGCTCTGCAGTTGCATGGCCTTGCTGAGGGTTGACAGCAGCAGTGCAGACACGTGCTGCATGCCAAGTGTAGCTGGGTTGTGAAAATAGCTCCTTCCTGCTTTGCTGTGCCTCCTGCAATTAATTACAGGAAAGAGGGTTATTGCAGAGTGATAGTGCTTGGCAGATGATTTAATGGGCTCTTCCTCTAAGAGCACAAACCTTAAATGTTACCTGATGGTACCTCTGCTTTCCATACTGCATGGAAGGAGCTGAGAATGCTTTCCCTTTTCAGTGGACGTGAGTTCTGCTGTCTTGTGTGGTCTTCTCTTCCTTTTCCCCAAAGTTGTGGCAAGTCCTTTGTGCATGAGGAGTGTTGGAGTGGTGTGATGTGGCAATAGTACAGAAAATACTCTGGTGACATGACATTCCCTGTGCAGATACAACTCAAGTGTGGGTTTGTGTGTTGGGGTGTGAGGAAGGGACCCTCTGCTCTGCACATCTCTGCTGGTGGCACTGCAGTGCTGCTGAAAGGCAAGGCAGTAATTCAGCAGTGAGAAGGACCAGAAGGGTATGTGCATTTTGTGGGGACATGTGCCTGGATGTGTTTGACACAGGGGCCAGGAGACACATCTACAATCATTTACTGATGTAAGCAAAATTGGAAGGTATTCTCATTAATGTTCTCTTAATAGCAGACATTGGATGTTCACTACTGAAGTCAGAGTCACCCTAGTAGTAATGATGCTTTCTTTAATTCCAGCTAGTAGGATTGTAATGGGAAATGGCATTTAGCCTTCCAGGAAAAATACTGCTAAATTGGCATGGTCTGAGCAGAACAAGCTGGTTGTAAATGAGATTTCCATTAATGCCAGTGAGCGTTGGTGAATTTCCTTTCCACATGCCCAAGATGAAAGGAGTGTGAGTAAAAGATGAAAACTTGCAGTTGGTGTGTGTGAGACCTTTTCCCACAACATCTGTGCTGAGGTGGAGAAACAGGATTTCCCAATGGGGACAGTTACTCTGAAGCAGCATTTGCGGTGAAAGGAGGCAACAAAGAGGAGAAAAAAATTCCAGAGAAGAAGTGTTGAATGGTTTGATTTTTGTGGGTTTTTTTTGCAGAGACACAGCATGCTGAAGCAGCAGGACCTGAACATTGCCATGATGGTGACGTCGCGGGAGGTGCTGAGCGCGCTGTCGCAGCTGGTGCCGTGCGTGGGCTGCCGGCGCAGCGTGGAGCGCCTCTTCTCCCAGCTGGTGGAGTCAGGGAACCCTGCCCTGGAGCCCCTCACCGTGGGGCCCAAGGGGGTGCTCTCAGTCACCCGCAGCTGCATGACTGATGCCAAGAAGCTTTACACACTCTTCTACGTGCACGGGTCAGTGTCTGCGGGCTGCTCGCGCCGTCCCCGCTCTCTGCGCGTCGCCTCCTTGGCGGTGCTGAGTTGTCACAACACGTTCTCCTCTTCAATGTCCGTAATTACAGCCACTTGTTGGCTAAACTGGGGATAAAGCAAACCTAGTCTTTGATACCACCAGTTTCAGTGCCATGATTGCAGTTGAAAGATGCCAATATTTGGTGTTTGGTCCTTAATCTGATACGGACGCTGTGGGGTTTTTCGTGGTCTCTGGAAGAAGAGTGTTTGCCTCTCTGCTTGGCACATAAAAAAAATAAGAGTGTTGATTTTTTCCACCAGAGCTTGCTGCTCTTGGGTAGAAAGGTTAACACTGAGAAAGTGAAGCCTTCTGGCCTTGCTGAGCACAATAAATGCTCCAGTGCCATTAGTTCTTCAGCTGTGAGCAGAGCAAACAGTGAGTGCTCAGCACAGTGTGCCTTGGCCTTCCAGTTGCCTTCAGCTCGTTCTTCTTGCTCCAGTTAGCAGGAAAAGTAGGGAAGGTTAGTGCAGAATTGAGGAGATTGAGATGGGGAGAGTGAGGTGGTGTAACCTGATCCAGTGGTTTTCAGAATACAATGTTCCTCACATTTTTTTTCCCATAGGTCCAAACTGAATGACATGATTGATGCAATTCCCAAAAGTAAGAAGAACAAGAGGTGTCAGCTACACTCCCTGGACACACACAAACCAAAACCTTTGGGGTAAGTCTGTGTTTAACATGCACAATTGAAAGAAAGGCAAAAAGTAGGAAGCAAAGTATAGGCGCTGATTTATTTTTAAGCATTGAGATCAATTTTTGTGCTCTGATCTGTTTCCCAGAGTAGCAGTTGGATTGTAGCAGACCCCAAATAGTTGTTGGGGAGAGGAAGAGAAGCATCAGGAGTTTTGGGCATGCTCAGGGCATGGATGGCTTCTGTCCTGTGATATAAACAATGCTCTAGAAAGACAAACTGGTTTTTGTGCTCTAGACCAAAATGGTTGCTCAGCAGATTTTCTCCCATTGAGAATAATGCTAAATAAATATCCATCATTTTGCTTGGGATTATTAAAAATGCCTTACACAACTGTTAACCAAGGGCTTTATTGTGGTTGGATGCAGGGTTAAAACTGGAACTCCATAAAATGTATTTTCTCAAAAGTGACAGCATGTTTTGAATACACCACTGAACAATATGCATATATGCCTCTGTCTTGAAGTTGAAATGATTTATTCTAGCTGGTTAAGCAGAACACTCCCTGTAAATCTGTTGTGGATTTTGTGGAGGTTTCTTGTTTGTGAGGTGGCTCCTTTTATTTTTTTTTTTTATATGATGACCAATAAATTACTCTCTTGGGCTTAATTGGAGTGTCTGGACCTTTTTTACTCAGCTGTGTTCTGCTGCTGGTTAAGCCTCCAACCTGTGAAAGCTTGCTCATGGTTTCCAGTTACAGGACATGTCTTTTTCTGTGCAGATTGGAGTCTCTCTGGGTTTAGTTAAATCCCCTGGGATACCAGGCATGTGGAATTTGACACTTGATTTTTGCTTGTGCTGCTTGAGGATACTGGGAACTAATCATAATCTTCTACTATATTTTGGTTATAGGCCTTTCACAAAATTAGTTTAAAGCTTATGTTACACAAGATCCTGAGAGTATAGAGGTGTATATATGTATATATATTTCTTCCTTAAATAAAGCAAATTCATAGCATTGTGAAAGTGGGTTTTGGGGGTTTTGTATATTTAGTAAGCTTAATCTTTTCTGTGTGAGAACAGATGCTGTGGAACCTGCAGTTAGCACTTTGGTGAGGTAGAACAATTCTGAAGCTGAATGAATAAAGAGGAAAATACTGCTTTTATTTCCTCAATTCATGCTGGAATAAATCCCCTTATTCTTTTGGATGCTGTCAGGTTAATAGGGAATATGAGGAAGCACAATATTTTATACTCTGCAGGTAAAACTTTGGGGTTATCAGAGAACGTGGCCTGTGGACAAGCAGTGCAGTTTGCTAAAGAAGCAGGACTTGCACTCCCTTCCTCAGCTGGAACCCCTCTGTTCTGTACAGAAGTGACCAGAGTGTATCAGTACTGATATAAATTCAAATAAACAGGCTCTGGCTGGGCTGTGGAGGCACAGAGTTGTCACAGAACAAACTTCATTTACCATTGTAGAGCTCCTGCTCCACATCTTTACAAGAAACTCCTTCAGATGAGTTGCATCTGTTGGGCATTTCCTCTACACAAAAAAGGCTTTGAGTTGGAGCTGGGTGTTTAATTAGAGGAGTTATGTAAGCAGCTAATGCCACTCGAGGGTTACTTGATGTCCTCAGTCTGTGCCTGGCTTTTGGCTCCTCAGCTCCATTTGGGACTCAGGAGCATTTGAAACTCTCCTAAATGCAAGGCCTATGACCTGGCAAACTGGGTAATGGCACACAGAACTCCTCTTATTAGGAAATAGGGCTGCTTCTTCCCATTTTCCTGCCTTATCTGCAAGACAGACGTGAGCATTCTGATAAAGTATTAACTGTAGACAAACCTGTAAATAACCATGACTTGTTTTTTAAAGTCTGTTTTTTGCTCACTTTTAGCACATCCAAATTTGAGTTGTAAAATTATTTTGATGGACTAACAAATTTTTGGAATTTGAGGTAGGATGTTTTATGGTGAAAGTTGTTGGGGTTTTCTTTGTTTTGCTTTTTTTCTTTTGTTGTTTTACCAAATTGTCTTCAGCTGACAAGTATTAAAACTTGTATGTGTTTATACTTAAAGTAATATTCTGAAAATCATGACTGGTTTGCAGCTGTAGCATTGGAAAGTTGATGAGTCTGGGTTATAAACATGGACAGCAAAATTTGCATCTCAGTTCTGACCCAAACTTTCACAGATGGTGTGTAGATATACATACAGGCTTAACCTATAAAGAATTCAAATAAAATCAAGGAACAGAGCAGCATTTTCAGCACATAGGATTTGTTTAGGAAAAATAACTAGCTGATAATATATATGTTATAGGTCTGAAAAATGTTTGGTAATACTATGTGACAGTGAAAGGAGCAGTAGCAGACTCAGTTCAAAGAAATTAAAAGCAGTTAAGAAAAGTAGAGAAGACAGGAAGAGGAAAGAGAGCAAGTGTAGCATCATTTTCTGCTATGGACCTTCCCAGGGAGCAGTCAGGTAAAGACTGAGGCTTTGCTGGGCTTGTTTGCTGACCCCCAGCAGGACAATGCAGAGTTTTGTGTCTCATTTCCTCGCAGGGGTTGCTGGATGGATGTGTGGGAGCTCATGTCCCAGGAGTGCAGGGATGAAGTGGTTCTGATTGACTCCAGCTGCCTCCTAGAAACATTAGAGACCTACCTACGGAAACACAGGTATGTGAGAGGAGCAAACCACAGCTGCCTGCTGAGAAACACGTGCTTTTAGGAGATCAAAACATTCAAAATGTAGAGGGGTTTATTCCTTGTGAAACTGAAGGTCTGAGCTTGGTGGTGATGGGGGACTTTGCCAGGCTTATGAGACAAAGATGGTGAAATATTCTGTGTTCAGTGCAAGGGAAAATGTGGAGACCTCTGATGAAGTGAAGTCATAGCTGCTTGTCTTAATATTTTTGGCTAGGATTAAATCATGATTTACAGTTTAATGTTTAAAAGCTGTGTGTTCTCATTCATTCTTTCTCTGCTCTTGGGCTGTGCCTGTTTTTAGGCTTTCAGGGAGTATGTGCCATTTCAAAATCCTGTCAGCTGCACTAGTGCAAGCAGATTTTAGGCTTGGTGTTGCCTTTAAAGCACTGTTTTAAACCACTTGTTTATGCCTGGTGCTGGTAAATCTCTCTTGCAGGGCAGAAATAAACCATTAAATTATAGTTGCATGTGCACAGGAGCTATTGTGCTGATTGAAAAGTTAATTTCCAGCAGTCTCAAGGTTCTGATATGAACTGTGGGGGCACAGATGGGTGCGGGGGTGGTGGTGCTGTGGAAATAACACTTTGGAAACAAAATAACTTTAATCTCCTGTGACATTAAACACTGCCTTGGCTGCCTTCCTGGTGCTAACCTGCAATAATACTGCTGTTTTCTCTCCTTCCACCGCAGAAAGCAGACAGGTATCGTAGCTCGACAGTAGCAAAATATGTTTGACTTAGTGCTGTCAAGTGGCTGGAGACACTAGGGAAGGGAAAAACACCATCCAGAGCTGGCATGGGGAGCCAGCTTCCTGAGCTGAAATGTGAGCAGCTTGTCTGACTTGCATTTTTAGAGTCATCCAGCAAGAGATCTTGTAGCCTCTTGAAGGTTACTCCTCTTATGACACAGAATGAGCTTAATTTGCTTGTATTTTAATTATAAGTATACTTCTGTCACACATGAGCTGTCACATGTTTAAAATGAGTACGTTGTGTTATAAATAACCTTCATTTGGCCATCAGCACAGCAATCTAATAATTCAAAATATGTTTGTAGTGGAAACAAGAATTGCTCTTGTACGGCAGGCATCAGGGGAAACTTTGCCTTGTTTCTTATCACTCACTTGAGTACACTTGGAAGAATTGCTAGAAGGTGATGTGGCAAGTGTTGCTTGAGAGAGGGATTTTGCCCTGGCTTGCACTGTTTGCTCAGTGTTGAGATTTTTGATCTTTGAGTTGAATTCTGTGTGGGAATTTCCTCAAATCAAGGATTCGCTTTGGAGAAGTTTGGTATCTTGATAGTAATATCATTGCTATCATTGGTTAGTAACGTGGAATAGGTGGGATAAGTGATGTGGATAATAGCCATGATATTACAATGATGACACTTTGTGAAGCACCACGACCCTCCCGTGCCCCAGCTGAGACACATCACCGCAGAGCCAGCGCCTTCGGGCAAACCCAGCCTGATCTTGCGCTTTCCCCCAGGTTTTGCACCGACTGCAAGAACAAAGTGCTGCGTGCCTACAACATCCTGATCGGGGAGCTGGACTGCAGCAAGGAGAAGGGATACTGTGCTGCCCTGTACGAGGGGCTGCGCTGCTGCCCCCACGAGCGCCACATCCACGTGTGCTGCGAGACCGACTTCATCGCGCACCTCTTGGGCCGGGCCGAGCCCGAGTTCGCAGGAGGGTATGAGTATGTAATTGGCTAGAGTGGGCTATCTAGCGCTTTGCTTCTTTATTTGACTCTAAAATGTCTTTGCCCAAAGTGGCTTTTTGCCTCTTTGCTGTGTGATGAACTCGTGGTTGTGAATATTCGTACTGGTGTAGGCTCGGAGAGAGCGCTTTGAAGGTTTCAGCTGTGCTTTGGAAGAAAAGGAGTTACCAAATGTCTTCCAGTTCATTGTTGAGTCCCTAGAACTGCCTGCTTGTCCACTGAGGTGTTCAAATATGCGAAATAGAAAGAGAGCCTTGGTTGAGTTCTGCCAAATGCCAAGTTTTTGAGTGAGTTTTGTAGCTGTTTATTTCTGAACCTTTTTTAATCATCTTAAAACCTTTCAGTGAAAAGGACAATTCTGAGCTCAGTATTGGAGAATCATAGAATGAGTTGGAAATGACATTAAAGGTCATCTAGTTCCAGCCTCATTGCCTTTAAAGCTCAGTCATATCTGTTTCATGAGGAGGGTAAATCCTTTCATAGTAGTTTTCCCTTAACAGATTGACCAGACTGATAGATAATAGATTGGTAATGAACAGATGAATGCTGAAATGTTTTTACTCTGCACGGTAAGTAATGTACAAAATTCCCTGTGTGTTTATTCAGCTTGACCTAACCAATGGTGAAATAATTGCTGTGAGCTCCAGCAAATTTTAGGACACAAAAGAATGCATTTTTCTGGCATTTAAACTCTTGATCCCTCCTAGGGAAGAGCAGGATGTGGCAGCTGAAGCCAGAGGTGGCAAGGCACAATGCTGCTCTACAGTGGTGGCTTTGACCTGTTCCTTTCTATTTTGCATCTGCATGCAGCACAGCAGAGCCCTGCCAGGCTGCTCCTGCAAACACAGCTGCAGTTGAACCTCCAGAGAACACGTCAGCCCTGCTTTGATCCCTTGGTTGGCTTCCAGCTGCTCTAACAATGCTGTGCTTTGGTTCCCCTTTCCCCCAGACGGAGAGAGAGGCACGCCAAGACAATAGACATAGCCCAGGAGGAGGTTCTCACCTGCCTGGGCATCCACCTGTACGAGAGGTTGCACCGGATCTGGCAGAAGCTGCGGGCTGAGGAGCAGACGTGGCAGATGCTCTTTTACCTGGGGGTTGATGCTTTACGCAAGAGCTTTGAGGTAAAAACGTGGAATTTTGTCCACCTTGTGTCTGAATTGATGCTGCAGCTGGGCCCATTGTCGCTGTAATTTGTTTTGTGCTCCCTGGCATAGGGCTGGAAGGAGTGTCAGGGGTGTTGCACTCATTCCCTTGTTTGGTTTTGTGACATCCATGTACGGCACAACTGGAGTGTGTTCCCATGTGCAATAAACTGGAATATAAAAGATTGAGGCTTGCTTTTACTTTCAAGCTGCCCATTCCAGTACACTGAACCTTCTGTGTTATTAATTCTGTTTTTCTTCCTGATTGCATTTAAAATAGCTCGGGCTACATACAGCAGTTTTTGGTTGGTTTATGAGTAAAAATGGAGGATGTGCTTTTGAATTACAAAAGTGGTTGCTAGCTCTTGTGGTCAGCTTTTTCCCAATGCACTCTGATCCTGTGGGATCCTGAGCTTCAGACAGAACTCCTTTAACACATACCAATACTTAATATTAATTGCCAGTTTATATGATCTTTTTTTGTTGTGTTCATCTTCCATTCATAGTAACTTTCCTCTCTAAAAACTTCTAAAACACCAGAGAAGGGAGGAGGAAAATCAGTTTGGGAAAGATCATAATGGAACATTGAGCTGGTTAGTTCTTGGGGGTTTTTTACTCCCATAGGATCAGAGTATCATGGATTCAACAGTGTGTTAAAATCTGCAACTCTTCACTGAAAAATGTGAATCTGGGCCATAGGTGTGACCCAGAGCTCCCCCACACGAGTTCCCAGCAGCCTAAATCACTGCATCTGGGTGGGCATTTTTCTCCTGTAGTCAATAGTTGTGTTCCTGGGATTTCAATACTGGCTGTTTTCCTTCTCCTTTTTTCTAACTGAAAAAGCCTGAATTGTGATAACTTCTGTAACTGGATCTAACCTCTTGTAAACAGATGGCTGTGGAAAAAGTGCAGGGCATTAGTCGATTGGAGCAGCTCTGTGAAGAGTTTTCAGAAGAGGAAAGAGTGAGAGAGCTGAAACAAGAGAAGAAACGCCAAAAACGGAAGAACAGACGGAAAAATAAATGTGTGTGTGAGATCCCTGCTCCTCTGCAGGCAGCAGAAGAGAAGGAAATCAATCAGGCAAAGGTAAATGTGGATAGCTGGGGCTTCATCCATCAGCTCACTGTTCCATGGTAGAATTCTTGAGGGATTTTATTGCATTTTGGTCGCTGGTGGAATTTAATTTCAGATGAGAAGAGCCTTTGTAAAGCAATTACCTGGGACTCCTCCACTTTTGGGGTTTGGTGGGGTGGGGTTTTTTTTAATCCTAAATCTGAGGTTCAGGTTATGGCAGATTATTTGTCAACTGTGACTTCTTAAAGATCACTCAGAACCTGGGGACTCCAATGCTACTTGTAGCCAATTACCACTGAATTTTTGGAGAGGGGGAATATTTAAGTGCAATTATTACTCGGGATCTCTTGGCTGACCTTAATGAGCTGTGACTGTGGGTCAAGGTAAATTGGTTGGGGTTTTGTTTAGTTGTGTTGTACTTATAAAGAATCCTAAGCAATGCTGTTATCAGTCAGTGTCAGCTGGTTTTTCTCATGGAAAGAGTATCCTTTACAAAAATGCTGGCTGAGCTGCCTTCAGTGCCTGCAAGTGTTTTTTGTTTCTGTTTGAAGGAGAACTCAAACTTCACGGAAAGCAGCTGCAAAGCCTGTGGTAGCACCGAAGAAGCCAACAACTGTGTAGAAGTAATTGTTACTAATGAAAGCACTTCTTGCACTTGTCCTAGTAGTGGTACCCTATTAGGCTCACCTAAAATCAAGAAAGGTATGTTAAATGTTAATATTTTTCATTTTAAAAAGCATTTGCCATTTATGGGGTGAACAGTGATCACCTGGTTTTAAAAAGGATCCTGCCTGTGGCAGGGGGGTGGAATGAGGCGATTTTTAAGAACCCTTCCAACCCAAACCTGTCTGGGGTTCTCAGAATTCTTTCTTGTTAGAGGCATAACTAAAGAATGAGCAGCAGTTCCTACAGATGGCAGTAATTTTGGCCTCTGTCTCAGGTTTATCTCCACACTGTACTGGCAGCGACTGTGGCTATTCCTCGAGCATGGAGGGCAGCGAAACGGGGTCCCGGGAGGGCTCGGACGTGGCCTGCACTGAGGGCATCTGCAACCATGATGAAAATGGTAGGTTTGGGAAGAAGATAATGATGCTTTAATATCCCCAGAGCTGCAGCATCTCAAAAGAAACTTGGCTGTGTTTTGCAGGGGACGATGCCTGCGTCCATCGCTGCGACGACAAGGAGGAGGATGGAGACAGCTGTGTGGAGTGCTGGGCTAATGCAGAGGAGAGTAACACAAAAGGCAAAAACAAAAAGAAGAAAAAGAAAAGTAAAGCTTTGAAGTGTGAGAACGACCATGTAAGGAACATGGCTCTGCCAGATGTTTCTCTAAATGCTTACATTTGAAAGTAGTTACGGAAGGATTTTAAATTCCAATTGAGACTTACACTGAAAATGGGACAGTGGGGATCTCCTGTTCCCTCATCATCCCAGGTTTTGGAACTGAGGTCCTTCCTAGAGTAGGTTGTAGTGAAGTCTCTTCTATGTCCCTAAGCATGTGCACTTTTACTCACTCTCAGTGAATGTGCCACCCCCAGCTCCCCAGGCACACGTTTAAATATAAATATTTACCCTTGCTCACCTTTGAACCTTCCTCTTTTCCCTCTGCTTCCATCTTAAACTTGAATATTCCATTTAAAACATTGCTGGCAGTTCATTGCAGGCTCTTTTCCATTTCAGATTCAGAAACTTGGGAGCTGTCTGGCAGATGCAGGTAGCAGAGAGACCTCAGGAAATCTCACGCACACAGAGTTTCACCGCGACAAGACCAAAGACACACACGCTGAGAGCTGCTGTAGCGCAGACAAAAGCGGCCAGCAGTTGCCTTGGTTTGAGCATATGAAAAATGTGTCAGAGTTTGCAGAACCTACAGAAATGTCACTTGTCCCTGATACTGGAAAAGGTGCCAAAAGCTTAGTGGAACTCCTTGTAAGTAACTGCTGCCTTTGAATTTTAGGTTGCAGCATCCTGCTTTAATCTTCGGGGCTGAGAACCAGTGAGGAATTAAGTGCCAGTGTTCAGTTCAGTTCCTTGTGCATGTTCCCTGAGAAGTTTCTAATTGAATGCTTTGCAGAGGAGGAGAAATTGTCACTGGAATGCAGTGACAGAGCTTGTGTTGCAAGTGCTCATTGTCAAGGATTGCATTATTCCGTAACATGAAGTGGGCATTATTGCTGCCTTCAGGCCGCAAATGTTACTTCCCACTGCAGCTCCTTGGGCAGCTTTCTTCTCTCTCCTTTCCTTCTCCTTCCACTTATTTAGATACTTTGCTCTCTTTCCCTACTTTTCTACTGAAGTGGATTTGGATCCATTTCATGACTGAGCTGGCTCACCCCAAGCCAGCAGAGCTCAGTGTGAGCGGGGTGTCCAGCTCAGCCAGCTGGGATTGGGGCTGCTGTGCCAGGGAAGGCTGGGGACAGATGTGCTGCACAGGAGGGCAGCCCTGGAGCTCTGAAACCCCCGTTCTCATTGCAGGATGAGTCAGAGTGCACTTCTGATGAGGAACTGTTCATCTCCCAGGACGAGATCCAGTCGTTCATGGCAAACAACAAGTCTTTCTACAGCAACCGGGAGCAGTACCGGCAGCACCTGAAGGAGAAGTTCAACAAGTACTGTCGCCTCAACGATCACAAGGGGCCGGTCTGCAACAGCTGGCTGGCAACAGCTGGAGCCAACTGAACCCAATCCAACTCTGTCTGTCACTGAAACTCGAGATGACTACTGCGCCTTCTCCTTCCAAACTTAATTTAGTGACTTACGGCAAAATTTTATCTTAAATTAATGTGATTCTTTTTTTTTTTCCTTGGTTTTTTTTCCAGGGGGAGGCTGGTGGAGGTGATTTCCTTAATTTTGTTCTTTCTCCAGGCTTGTATTTTTAGTTGAGTAGCTGTGCAAGCCTCTCTTCTAATTTAAGCCATCTCTTTTCATTCAATGTTTCTCTTCCTGTGAGACTTACAAAAAGCAAACTAGTGGCAAAGTAATGTTGTACCTATAATTCTGTACAGAATGACAAGGAGCTGAATATAAGATTTTACAAAGTAGACATCCATTTGCAAAATGTTTTGGATGTAATATGTTAAAGCGCAATGTGCAAAAATTTAAATAAAGAATATTTATTAATATGCATAGTAAAGGTGGGCGTCTATGTTTGTACTGGAGTGCTCAGTCCTGGGGTTCAGGAATGAGGTGGGGGTGAGGTGAGGGAGCTGCTCTGGGCAAGGACAGATCCTCACAAACCTGTGCTGCTGCAGGGATGTGCTGTGGGGATGGTGGAGTCGCTGCCAGCCCAGCAGGGACTGTGAGTGCCCGGCTGTGTCGGTGGCACGGTCCCAACCTGGCACTGCTCAGTGTCAGGTGCCTGTTCTGCTTCCAGGAGCCGGGATAAGGGATGGCCACGGAGCTGGCAGCAGCTCTGCCCTGGCAGTCCTGGCGTGAGGGCTGTGCCCAAGGAAGGGCAGCACGCTTTAGCGGGGGGATGGATGTGGAGGGTGCAGCTTGGGCCATTCTGGAGGCATTGTTAAACCCCACACTTTTCCTTCATCAATTCAATACCTGCACTTCTGCCTCTTGTGTTCAATTAACCCGTTTCCTCACACATCTCTGGGAATTATTTGAGCACCCTTGTCCCTGGGGCGGGGGATAACAGCCCCTTCACCGTGCAGCTCGTCCTCTCTCCACACCCATTTGATCCCTCTCAATCCTCGCTTGCCTGCGGGGGAAGGAAAACCCCAAACCCCGCTCCCGTCTGGGGCTCTGGGGCTGAGCCCCGGCACACTCAGGGATGGAGGGCGTGTCCCCTGGGCGTGTCCCCTGGGCGTGGCGCGTCCCTCGGGGCCAGGGGCGTGTCCCCGTTCCCGGGGCGTGTCCCCGTTCCCGGGGCGTGTCCCCGTTCCCGGGGCGTGTCCCCGTTCCCGGGGCGTGTCCCCGTTCC